AACTATCTGAAAAGATGATTTCCTAGTCCAGTATTTGACTAAAATATGAATCAGTACAAATTACGAAAAACTTGCCTTTAAGAATAATCCCTGAAGAAATGCACTCAAACACTCTTCTCAGTGCATCCCCAGGGCTCTGAGGGTTAGCAGCACTGCTGATCGCTTTCTCCACTAGTAACTCCATTGCCTACAATGAGAAACCACACAGCAGTGCTCAAAAACTCACAGACCAATGAGATAACCCACTTCAAACACTAAAATGACACACTGTAGGAAGTGAAAAGTTAGACTTTAAAAGCCTGGCGGGGGGTGGGGGTGAGAAGCAATAATGTAATAAAACCTTTAAAAAATAAACATTTTGAAAAGATTCTCTAAGATGTGCTTAATGAAGGAAATATTAAAACAGATTAACAGGTGGCATAGTGGGGGTTACTCATTGGCCTGTTATCCAGAATGTCAGCAGTTCGTGTCCACCAGCTGGCTCTGCAGGAGAAAGATGAGGATTTCTGCTCCCATAAAGATTTACAGTCTTGGAATCCCAAAGGGCCAGCTTTGCTCTGTCCTACAGGGTTGCTACGAGCTAGAATCAATTCAATGGCAGGTCTTGCTTATTTTTTTCTATAAAGATATGATAGCCTTTAAAATGTTGTCGCTATTTAGAGCTCTCACACGTTAGGTCTTTATTACCAAGAGCAATGATCCTAAGCTGTGAGACAGAGCAGGACACTCTTCTATTAAGTGAAAAAGATTAAAAAAAAAAAAAGCCCCCCAAAATTAAGGTTTTTGTTTCCTTCATAATAATGAGTATTATAAAACTCCTCATTTGATATACAAATTGCACTTCTATTATCCTAAGAAAGAAAACTGATGTTTTCCAGGAAATTACACTTGAGAGACGAACAATGGAAACCAGTGAATAGAAAGAAAAACAAGTGTTGACCTAGAGAGCAATCATCCCAGGTTTTCAAGGTGTTTAGATTTTTAAATTGAGAGATACTGCACATACTGTAAGTTTAATTCACCCTTTAAAGTGTCCAACTCAATAATTTTTAATACAAACGGTGCAGTAGTGGCTACACACTGGTCTGCTAACCACAAAGTCAGCAGTTCAAAATCAATAGATGCTCATTGGGAGACACAAGGTTTTCTACTCACATGAAGAGTTATGATTTTGGAAACCTTCAGGGGCTGTTCTACCGTGTCCTATAAAATCACTTTAAGTTGGAAAAGACTCGATGGCAGTTGAGTTTGGTTTTTGAGCTTACCAAATAGTAGAGCTGGCATTCAAACTACGTACCTTCTAAGTTTTAGTGTTTAAGGAATATGCTTCTATCATTTAGAAAACCCTATGTACGAGGTTAAGTCAAAAAGTATGGAAATGATGATGGCAACACATACAAGTGTGTTTAACACATTTGAATGATGAATTGTTTTACGCTTTGTAAGAGCCCTCCAATAAAATGATTAACAACAACAAAAAGTATGGCTACAAAACCAATGAAACCTTTATTAAAGAAAAATTTAAAGATTCCAAAATGTAAAGCAATTGCTTTTGGACCTGTCTTCCATCTAGGTCTATACACTTCAGAAGTCAGTGTCTCCAGCTTTCTAGCCCTTGCCTGAGGAATGCTATGCTCCCAGATTTGCACAATGTCAATACAGCAGCTTTGTCATCATCCACAGAGAACTCAAATTGTGTTTCCTTTGAATGTTGAGAACAAGAAGGAACAAAGAGGGGCAATTTTCAAGGATAAAGGGCATATGGGGTAAGGTTTCCCAAAATTCTTGTAAGACACCCCATAGTAACTTAGAAAAAGCAGAAGGGGTGTTGTCATTAGGGGAAAATATTCTTTGGGAAAGTCTCCTCACCACTGCAGTTTCAATAAGTCCCCATGATTGTCCTATATCCTTTTGAAAAAATTTGTGATCCCAAATAACAAGCCACCATACCCCTTTGAGCTGACCTCTCTGTCTGGAAGGCAACTAGCCCAGCAGGTGAGATTCCTGCAGAAGTCAGCTTTGAATAGATTGTGGTGGTGCTGGGGTGGAGGGAGAGGAAGAGACTAAGACCAGTGTATGTTATTGGGAGAACCTGTTTGCAGCCATCCACTAATTTCAGAGACAGGTTTAAATATTTTGTTTGAAATAAGCGTGTACATGGAAGAACCAGAACCCTAATATTAATATCTTTTGATTTACCCTTTTATAGATTGGCAAAGGGTATTTCTATATATGTTGCAAACATATGATCTCATGATCTACAGCCTCCACTATCTTGTAACTACAAAAACTAGATGGTGCCCAGCTATCGTACCAACCACTCTGACCAGGAACACAATACTTCATGACTGACCATCACACCTGTATAAAACACCTCTCATCTAAGATAAATCAAGTGCTATTTTAAGATTTCCAATGAGAAGAGGTCAGTGTCGTGTATTATAATCCCTGTGCTTACCATAAATAAATAGTGTATAGTAGATAATAAATGTTTATGAACTAGAATAATTTTAGGAACAAAGTAATAATCTTCACAGCTCCAGTAAAAATATTATCACCTAATTTTACCACGAAATGGCATAAAAAATGTGCTGAAAAACTCAGCTTATACACGAGTATATACGGTAATTCAAAGGTCTTTCAAAATCTGCTCTTGACTGACCTTACGAAATGAGAATTCCTACTGGTATATAAAGTTAGAAACTAATCAGAAACCAAGAAATTTTATGGAACGCATTCAATATACCTAAACCTGTATCTAGTCTCTGCCTTCTAACATCATTAGCTGTCAAGCAAACAAAAAATAATTTTCTAAAGAACATGGCTCATTTTCTAAGCAGGCATTTGAAATTACAGAAACAACTATATACAGGGCTTTATAAATTCAGAAATACATGCACTTAAAAACAAAAAGGTAACATTAAAGAAATACAGAATCAAATTTGGGAAATGACCTTTTAAGTTAATGTTGAAGATCTTAATAAAAAAAAGAATTAAAACAAAAAATCTCCAAATTAAGTGATTTAAAATTTAGGAATAGTTCATTTGCTTAAAACAAACAATATTCATGAAGTATACTTGCTATTAAATGCTTACTAAGTGTCAGAATGGCAGTAAGTATTTAAAACACAAGATTTCACTTAATTCTCATAGACCTAAAAAAAAAAAAAGGTATGTAAAGCGGAAAAGCAAGTTTAAAGAGGACAAGTATAAGCTGATATCTGAACCCAATCAGGCGGACTCAAAGCCTCTTGTATTTGTTTAAACTGCCACAATGACCCTTTAATGACTGATCCAAGCAGACAACATTAACTAATTTATTTCAATATTAGTTTCTAGGCCTGGTAAAGTTAAAAGGGCCAGGTAAAACAACACCTGATGAGACTGGTACCATAGATATTTTTACTTCTGGGAGCATAAACTGGTATATACTTTTTAAGGAACACAATTGGCAAGCTTGAAACAATTTCCTATACTAGTTAACCCATAATAATTATCTAGAATGTCAGTAATAAGAATTTAAAATAACA